AAAAGTTGATTAAATTTGCTGAATAAGCGGGACGTTCAACCGTTTGTTTTGACAACATTTTGATATGAAGGTGGGGCCAGAAAATTCAAGTTTTTTTTTACAACAAATGAAGAAATGACCAAAATGTTGACATCAAAATATGTCCAAAGAGGGAAATCTAATGTATATTTAGAAGATATTAACCAGTTCAGAGCTGTTAGAGGAAAAAACAAAGAGTCTCCAGAGGAAACTAGGAGAAAACGGAAACAAAAAAGGAAATAAATGATTATTTATGCAATGACTTATAAGTCTTTTACAGTAGTGAAAAAGCATAAAACTAAAGATTATTTTTCATAAATAAAAATACAATTTATTTCGGTGATAGTGATGCGTTCCTCCTGTTCACGCAGTGATTGTTACCAGCTGTACTTTATACCTGTCAGTTTTTCAATAAGCATCTATCATAAGTTCTGTAGCTAAAAGCTTTGAAGATGGCGCTTTGTTTGTTGTTTTTATGGATTTGTAAACAAAACAAAAAAAAATCCATTTTGCCAATGTTTGCTGTTGATATTTATGTTTCAATCGCAAGAAGCAGCAGAACAGGAGCAACCCATCACTGATACATCACACACTGAAATCACTGAAATATGAACACACCGTAATAATATTTATTATTATCAACAATGGGTTTTTGCGTCCAGTATTTTGTCATCCACTAGAAGGTACTGCAGCATCCACCACATCTCTACTTGCTGTAGTTTTATTTCATCTTTTTTAGTAAAAAGAAGTTTAGGAACCGCTGGACTGCACTGTATAAGAAAAATGACATCAACTCACTGAATTATTACTTGATCCGCTTGTTGTGACTGAAATCTACAACAAACAAAAAATGTCAGAAAGCTTCTTCTGAAATTAGGAAAAGATTCAATGCCTTAAACATCCTTTTTTAAAATAAGACAATATTTATTAATAATTACATCTATCCGGTTTCAATAAATCATTCCAAATCAGATTTTGTTTGATCTGAATTAACTAATCAGTAAAACTGCAGTATGGATAAACGAGTTCTTTGTTCCCCAAGTTAAGTAAACTTAAAAGCATCTGACCTGAAGCATCTTTCAGATCTGAAGTACGTTTTGATTTACTCTTCAAATGAGTTCAGTAAGCACACAGAGGAAACCTGGTGACCCTCCTTCACTTGCTGTCGGACTTGAAGATTAAAACCAGCAGTAAAATGCATGAGACGCCTCCGTCTGACTAATCCAGCCTCCACACTGAGTCTGATTGACACCCGACACGTAAGCAATTAGTTTCTGCAAAAATGTCACCACAGCCACAGAAAGCTACTCTACAGATTATATTAAAAAAACTTTGAACTAATGTGTTTCATTGTGTAACGCTGCAGAATCAGGACTTGACGAAAGAATAAAGGTGTGGTGATGGTGATGGTGGACCCTGAGGTGATTTTAGAAATGAAATATGTTGTTTGTCTAATTAAATTGGTGATTCCATCGGAGATCTCCAGTGACAGGCTGTTAATTCTCAGGCAAACAGAGCGACAGGTTAATGAAATCAGGCTGAACAGATGTTCCTTATTGTTGTACTGCACAGTATTTTCACCCATTGTCCTTTGTTACACAAGTTTACATCATATCACTAATGTTTGCTTTTTTTTTCTCAAAATTACTGATTGCAGAGCCGATACTTTTCTAATTTGTGGTTTTGACATCCAATATTCAAAAGAAAGGAAGTGATATATGATCTTCATATCTTATATGAAGATCATATAAAAGGTATAAAAAACAAAACAAAATATTTTAATCACATCTTAAGGTGCATACGTACTTTAATAAAATATTATGGATTTTACTGCCAACAGTGCATGTTTCCTGTTAAAAATTAATTTTTAGCATGTAAGGTTGCAGCTGAAATAATAATAAATCATGGTCATATGTCCTTGGATTGAAAAACATCTTAAAGCTTTTCTTTTGTTGCCTGTAAGTTATAAAAGTGAATATCTGTTGCAGTGCTTTCTGGTGTGTTTAATTCTTTTGAAAACCGTTTTCTGCTGAAATGTATGAACAGATGTCAAAAATTGTGTGAATTATTTCATGAAATATGCAAAAAAATGTTAAATTAATATGTAAATACCACTTTTTCAAAACAGGATTCAGAAAGTGAGTCATTTTTGTGAACTAGGAGCTTCAACATAGTTCATTAGGAACAGAATCGACCTGGGGATGGACTAACCTGTGTCAGATGGATGTCAGGATAACCTGCTGCAGCAATGCATTGTTGACATTGCTGAGTGTGCTATGATTTTCTTTCTTAAGGAAGAAAAGTGTTCTGGACCTGAAATTGATTGTTTTTTAGCATTTTAACGTTGAGATGTGATCTGTTTAACTCTTGGTGATCAGAACTGAATCTCCAGGAAAGCAAACTGGGACCAAATGATGTGTTGAAGTGATAAAACTAACTCCACCTTGACCGTTAGGATGAGAATTGTGAATGCTTGTCATCATCTCACAGACACGCAGAGAGAAGAAAAGTCGAAGACATGAGAAATAAATTTGACCCAAAGATCAAAAGTAAACTAAGAACTTCTTTATTCTTTTTTTTTTCTTGATTTCATATAACTATCTATATCTGTTTTTTTCTACATTGTCCTTAAAAGTTTGTCATCATGCTAGGTGCAGCTTCAGTGTTGGTAGAACATGCAAGGTCGTGGTTTGAGTTGGTGGAGGATTTCACACATTGGACAACTGGACCCAGAAAGAGCAAAAGCCTCCAAATGTGGGCTCACTGAACAGAACCAAAAGAACATAACCCCACCAAGAAGGGGGAAGGGTTGCACTGACCGTCTTCAGGGATTCACGAGGGGGTTAAGCAGAAGCAGTTCAGTTCTTGCTCCAGTAGTTGAATCCATCCAAACCATAAATGGAGACTTTTTCCCTTTTTTTTCTCTTTTTTCTTTTTAAATCATGACATCATCAGTTGACATCTTTAGTGCAGTCAAAAAAAAAAAACTAAACTCTAGAAGCAGGCAATCTTGACGGGGCATATACGAAAAAGAAAAACCCTCAGACAGCTTTGTAAAAATCAAAAACATTAACAGAATGGACTGGGAGAAACAGAGAGGAAGAGAAACATCTGTCACACTTGCATATGAAGTTGGCCTACTGGCTGGGATTGTAGGGTTCTTTTGTAGGGGATCACTCAATCAGACTGTTCTTCATTTTTACCATAACGCTAACTTCAAAGCTGTGTTCAAATTGTTCACTTATTCTTCATTAGTACACCATAGTCGTTTTCATCTCCTGTGCACAATTTCTACTGTTTACTTGAATGTATAGTACATTGTTGAAGACAGACCACTATGCCCTACAACCTGAGCTGACCAAGTCCATTAAGGCTAACGTTAGCATTCTAACATCCTCCGCTAATTATTAGCCACTATGTAGGTAGTGTGCTAAAAATCTGCTGCCTGGTAGAGTAAAGATAGTCTATAGAAGTGCTACATGGAATCATCAAATTTGAGCATGATTAAATTAAGCCTGAGCTAACAGCGAGATAATGCTAACATTAGGATTCTAGTGCCTTTGAAAACAGATAACAGTGACTCTAAATCTACCATTAATTGTGCACTCAGAAGTCCTCAGATGGTACAAAAAAGTAGTGTTGAGGTGGTACACTTCCTTTAAAAAAAAAAAACCCAAATAACCTGAATGGACGAAGAATGCTAATGCTAAATTTAGCAAGCTAACATCCACTGTAGAGTGAACAAGAAAACTGTCATATGGCTTAGCAAAAGTATTGTAAAGGGGTAGTACACTCTTTACAATACTGTAGACTGTAGCCTATATGACCGTTGAGTAGCTGTGAATATTAACATACTGCTTCTGACATTAACATGTTAACACACTACTACCCAACCACCCAGCCACTGTCTAGACCATTTATTCTTGCAGACGTGTCAATATTGGACATATCATGAACAAAATGCCATAACATATTGGCATTTACATTTCTATTGTATTCAGATGCTGCGTTAGGTTGTTTCATAGAAATGGGTGGAGGCATTTTTTGATGTGCATCTAAAGCCACCAATCCAGTCTTTAGCATGTTAGTATTAGCGGTGATGTACATTATATTAGTGACCGTTTACTGTGTCTAAGCCAACCAAGAAACACTGTTGTAGAATAACATATTGCTGATGCTAACATTGGTATGCTTAACATACACAGTTAAGAATAACAAAAAAAAAAAATGCAAAAAGATGCATTAGCAAATGTTTTTCTCTGCTTTGTTAAAAAGTTCACGTTGAGCTCAGTGTTTCCAGGTTTTAACCACTGCCAATATGAAGAGTTTAGTAACAAAAGCATCTTCAAATTTTCAAGACTTTCTAATATTTCACGCACGCTAACACAGCATCAACTATGGTCAATTAGACATTCAATTCTATGTCATACAGCATAGTGAGTCTACATCAACTCTACTGTATTTCAGCTTCAGTCAATTCAGCATGGTAACACTAATGTCCGCATGCTATCATTAACATGAAGGGCAGCTAACATCCACCAGTTATTTCCTTTATATATATATATATATATATATATATATATATATATATATATATATATATATAAAGAAACATATAAACGTTAACAGACAGTAGAAATAGTGTACATGAAACAAAATGTAGTGCCTTGACTGACCAAGAATGATAATAAAGTAAGCACACTAATGCTGATGTTTGCATACTGACACTTATTGTCCGCAGTTGATTTTTGTGACTTTCCTGACTTCACGGAAAGTAAAACTGGTAACATAAGACTTAGTGCAACTTTTATGATGATGAATTATGTTATTATAAGATTTTCAACCAAAAACAAAACCATTTATTTATAATGTGATGTATGCTGCTGGTGCTTGTTTATGCAATACCTGCAAATAAACATATTAAAGCAGAATTAAGAGTTGCAACACAAAAAAGCTGGCTACACCTGCACCATTCAGATTTGTTTTTTTTGTACACATACAGTCTGAGTGAGTGAACATTTTGAACACAGCTTTGATTTTCTAATGATGGCTTAGAAAATAAAAATCAAAACAAGGAGGATTGGACAACCTTTGATGACATCACGAGTGGCAGCTGGTGGAGGAGAAATGTAACAGTGCTGCTTTTTTTTTTTTTTTTTTCCTGCTGTATCTGTCTTGCTACAATGGGAATGAATCGTGTCGACTCCGGAAGTGTTGGTGCCATGCTGTACATTGGCTGTAGTCAGTGATTCACAAACTTATATATAGGAACAATAAGATCTTCACATTCCTACTGACAAAGGAGAGAGCCAAAAGGTTTCCACAGAGGGAGAATTTGCCACATTTGTCGTTCCTTATATGCACAGAACAAGTATATTGCAACAGTTATGATTGCAGGTCACAAAATGCACGGTGGGCGCTGACAGCTACATTTGCACTAAAGAAGCCTGACTTTTCTGCCCAATGTGGAATATATATATATATATTTTTTTGTTGCAGAAAACACAAGTACAAAAAAAAACAACAAAAAAAAAAAACCTGCCAGTAAAGGGATGATTGGCGGAATAATGGCAAGCCATTAAAAAACAGGTCTTATTAACATTGGGGGGGAAAAACACGTGAAAATCTACATCTTTGGTGAAAATTTAACTGAGTATGCTGAAAGACACCTGAGCACACACAAATTTCACACTCAAACTGTGTTTTTTTTATCCTACAGCTGGAAACAGGAATTGACTGAAGTTTGTTAGAAATGCATCTTCATTGACCAGTTTAAAACATGGGAGAGTATTGACTCATGGTGAACAGGAGTTAATACACACAGAGGCGTTAATACGGGAGGCTGAACATCAAACTGGAAAACTGTACATTTGGTTGGACACTACTGGCATCAGGTTTCAGCATACAGCTTCTGAGTCTGTTCATGCACGGTCTGTGAAGGTGCTTCCAAGGACAACGTTGTGGAGATTGCATGTTTGCATCACAGCCACCACAGATGGGCTTAATGTGGCATATCTTGAATCTAGCTTCATATACTGTACCATATGTGTGCTACAGGACATCTACTATTATCTGATCTGACAGCTGTCAGGGGTCTCTGTGGTGTAAATACAAGGTCTGAGAAGTTTGTTGTACTGTCACTGTTCTCTCAGTAGTTTCATCCCCAATAATCCTTTTTTTTTTTTTTTTTTTTTTAAAGGACACAACAAACAAAAAGAAAAAACAAAAAAAACCCCTCTTCTTTTGAAGCCCCCCCCCAAAAAACTAATTCAATCAATCACAAGAAATTTAGAAAATAGAGACAAAGATTCAAAGCTGCCTGTGGAGAAAGTTGCTGGCATTCATTCAAAAATCATTGACGCATAGAGTTCCCCGTCGCTTGTTTTCTGCTCGGCAAGCCTCTCAGTTCAGTTTCCATGCAAAGCCATGGATTCAAAAAGGAAACCAAATAAATCAAGGAAAAGAAATAGAACGTGCAGCGCCTCCTAAAGCTTTGTCCCGGGACCCAGGTGAGGGGGAAGACTCCAACATGACCCACCCGGATATTCAAGTATGAAGTGACAGCGATGGGGAATACCTTTGAGGACAAATGAATGAATAAATGAATGAAAAAAAAAATCATAAAAAATGAACTTGAGTGTGCTAAGCTGCAGTCACACCTGTCCTGAATCTGTTTTATTGTGAGTCAATCAAACAGGGCGACGTTGTTTTAGAACATTTTCACCTTTAATAAAAGGGGCTAAGAACGCATCAGAGAAACACACATTATATGTTATTCCTACAATATTTTCACTTTTCTGAACTAGATTTACATCTTGAGGATTTATGAATCATTAAATTAAAGATCACTGTTTTTAATTTTAGCAATTATCTTTAGGTCCATACACATTGGTATTAGTCAGTAACAACAACAACAAAAATATCTTTCTTCTATGCTACATTTCACCCTATAAAGGCTACACTCATTTTGCGAAAAGAGACAAAAATCATTTTATCGCCACTTTTCCACACCTACAGCATGAGGAACATTTCTGTCCTGAAAACAAAGTGACTGAAAAAAAGGGCAATGGTTCCAGTTTAAAACAGAAAACAAGTAAAACCAAAATTATAGGCTTAAAAATCAAAGATGAGGAACAAGATGAGGCGGAGGTCCTCTGAGGAATGATGAGCTATGGAGAGTTCGTGGAGCCACGCAGATGACTCCACGAACTGACACGTGAGGACGGAAATAAAATGTCACTGAGGGGCTCGATAAGTTTTCCGGCCTGGGTCAGGGAGGGAGGGCAGGAGGAGCTGGTGCATTGGGAAACCCCCCCTCTCCTTTTGGTCCCCGGAATCAATCAGGAGCTGAGGGTGAACTGGTCTTGCTCGATGGGCTTTTTGACCCATGCCCCCAGGCCGGCCTTGTGGAAGGCCTTGATGAGGGCCTTTTTAGCAGAGTGGTACTCCATGGCCGCCTGCTTGGCCTCATGGTATGAGCTGGGCTTGGGCACTTTGATCCGCAGGATGGATGACAGCTGGGGAGCAAGAGGAAATGGAAACATAAAGTAGAATTTAGGATGAAGCTGAACAGATTAGGATAGCTCTCTGTGCTTTACAAAACATGTTTGTTACATTTTTTGCACAGAATCATTCTTATGTAATGAGATTTTAGTCTGTTCCGTCCTGCCTATTCTGAGCTCCTTTCAGGATGAGCCACGCCCCCAACTCAATGTTTACAATCGCATGTGAAAATGGCTACAAACGTTATACAACTGTACATCTTTGAAAAGCAGAAGTAGAGCCTCCTGCACAACCAACAAGAATGCAGCAAGTGGTTTCTAAATGGTAAACCAACAACTAAACACTTGTCTTTTCCAGTAGCCATTGTACAGCGCATACAACCAGCTGACTAGATGTCCTAAAGGTCAGCTTGAGTTCCTGAGTCATAATAGATTGAACAAATACTTAAAATAGTTATCTGTGACATTGATTTTTTTAGAAACAAACTTTAAACTTTGCCACCTGTGTTGCTTGGTCTTCATGATGCTGTTTGTTTGCTAATGTTCTCTAACAAACTTTGAACCCTCTGCAGAACAGACATACTTATACTGAGACAAAATTAAGGGCATCAGAGCAAAAAAGAGAGAAAAATTTAAACGCACATTATTTTTGCAAAGAACTGTAAGATAAGTTGTGTTTCCGGCTCTCTGTACCTTCGAGTGCAGGCGCACCCAGCGGCTGTAGAGGGCGTGTTTGCAGAGTCTGGAGAGCCGGCCCATATCGTCCTTCCCCGTGGTGGCGTTGATCACCTCCAGTGCCTGATCGCCGACCGTCCAGTTCACGCTGAAGTTCGGCGCCTTGCCCGGCTGTCGGGCCTCAGCGTTGCTTATACCTGGGAATCCCAAACAAAGAGTTGGTATGCTTACCTGAACAGCTCAATACTATCACCTCCTACTATGTTTAATCGAAAAGGCATCCTGATGCAGAGGCAGCTTATCAAACAGCCCAGATGTCTTTTAGCATAATTTTTTCTAACTTTTTTTTATGTAATTCTATCTAACATGGTGGAGAGAAATGATGCCATCTACCTCGGAGGGGGACTCTGAGGATGAGGCCTGAACTCTTCCAAAACATGACAGGGCTTTGGCCTCCACTGTGTCTCAAACATAAATGGGAGATATATGGATGCCATAAATCCCTGTGTCCTGCTGGCTTCTGTGTGTGCGTGTATGTGTGAAAGTGCATTAAGCTCCTTGGTTCCATTTGGCAGCACTTGTGGCAGAAAATGATTTACAGCGGATGAAATCCTCACTGCTCTAAGGCCGCAGCCCTTCACCGCTAAAAAGTCTCTAAAGCGGAAAAGGTTAATAACCCCGGACTATTATCTCCTCTAGAGAGGAACCACAGTGGAGGAGCAGAGGATCACGGGGAACGGCGAGTAAAATCCAGGAAGCAAAGAGACGCCCTCGACCACAACGTCTAACGCTAAATCTGACTATTTTTAAGAAAACACAATGGCTATTCAGGAAGTGAAGTTTGAACTGAAAATTGTTCTTTGGGATTTGTATGAATGGAAACATAAATAGGCAGCAGTTCCATTCATAAGAAGCCGCACAAAACAAAGCACTGGTGCAGAGTAGTTTGGACTGAAGGGTTGGTATGTTGTTTAAACACTTTGTGAAATTGAAGTCACGCAGTCCCTAGTGGGTACAGAAAGGAGCCATTCGCCATGAGTTTATTCTGACATAACGAGTTTTATATAGATCTACTACAAACAGGCATATTGTTTAAAAAAAGGTTCAACTGGTTACAACAGCCAGTTAGCCAACCACCCAAAACACACATAACATCTGACCAATCAGCCAGCCAATCAACTGAACATCCATCCATCCATCCATCCATCCATCCATCCATCCATCCATCCATCCATCCATCCATCCATCCAACCAACCAACCAACCAACCAACCAACCAACCAACCAACCAACCAACCAGCAATTCCATCCAACTCGCCAACCAACCAGGTTTTCCATGCAACTAACCATTCATATAGCCAGCCAGCCAACCAGTCAAAGGAAAGAGAGAGGTGGGTTAAATATTTGATGAAAACCATTTATCAAAATAAAGCTGCAGTCAACAAAAAGGAAGGAACAGATTTACTGTATGAATTTATAGCCAACATGATTTTGTGGGATAGATTTTGTTATACAGAGGTTGTGCCAATTTTTAAAGTATCACTTTACAATAATGCTCCATATAATCAGAGTTTATGTTTTAGTCAGCTGTACTTAGATTAAGCAAAATAAATGTTGACCACAATCCAGCCAAATAATCTTAGCGAGATCATCCTGCCTGACGTAATCAGAATGACTTCTTTGATATTCTAATGATACATTTTAGCTGTTTTACAAAGAAACAATGACAGGCAGAAGAACAAAAACAGAGTACTAAATTAAAAAAAGGAAAGTAAAAGAAAAACAAAAGGCTTTTGAAAAGGTCAAGCCACTGCTGAAAATGTATACAAAATGTTAAAGCTATTCAAATTCCACAGCAGAAAGGTAAATGTCAGCTCAGATCAAACAAAGCAGGAAAGCTCCTCCTGTCCTCCTTTCCTCTATGACGGACCTGTGAGGTCAAGAAATGTGTTTACTACCCAGAATTAAAATCTTTCTGCTTGATATTTGGAGAGCTGGGGTTGGATTATCAAAGTTTAAGAAGGTGACCTCACACGGTTGGGTTTTTATCTTTTGAAATTGTGAACGTGACCACGCAATACGGCTGGGAATTTAAGGGAGACAAAAAATAAAATCTCCTTTTACCAGCGGGTCTTTCCTTATTTTATCATTTGGTTCACTTCAGTGAGGGCTCTTACCGCTGAGCAGAGGCCTGTTGAGGGTGAACTGCTGGGGCAGGTCCTCGATATCTGCAATGCGCTGGTACATGGCCCTGGAGAGGTGGTCAGCGTGGTAAAGGCTGCCGAGGATGATGCTGGAGAAGTAGATGGGCTCGGTGAAGTAGCTCATTAAAGAGCCCTGGATGCCCACCACATTCCACCTGGAGAGGGAAAAACATACAAGACAGAATCTGAAACACAGAAACCACACAGCAATTTGTTTTTAAAGGGTATATTCTAGAAGTTGGTGCTTTATGTGGAGAAGCTCTTTTCTTTTCAAGAGTGATGTGGACCTGGTTCATTGTTTAAAATAAATTTAAATGTATTTGTGACTGAACTGAAAGGACTCGTTTTGTTTTGTTTTTTTTTGTAAAATGCCTCGAGATTATATCTGATATGAATTGTTGCTTCTAAATAAACTGAAGTGAATTAAAATTGAGTTACCTATTAGGTTGAATAAAGTATGTAATTATAAAGATGGATACACCTGGAATAAAATAAATAATTCACACAGATTTAGAATCTCAACATTTCAAGATTTACCTTAAACAAATCTTTCCAAAGCTTGGCAGTTGCTCATAAAATGTCATTAAAATGTATTTATTTAATGACATATTATATCACTCTTGTAATAGTTTGAACAATAATTTCTTGTGAATAAGAAGACATAAAGCTGTTTGAGCCACTCTAGGTTATAAGTCGGTAATTTAAAAAAATGGAGATTTAACAGAGTTCAAGTTTGAAATCAGACTTTTATGTTTCCCTTTTATAATGTTTCCTAAGCTAATTATCTTCATCTTGTTACTTAGAACGCTAAAAAGCATTTACATGCTGCTTTGTGATCGACTGATTCACTATTAGTGTAAACAAGCAATTGAATAAGTGTAACTAATAACATGGGAACACCTCTAGTTATAGAATTATGTAGCAACAATAACTAATTTGACCTGTAACATCTGTGTTCAATTTCAAGTAAGGAACATTGGCAGCATAAAACATGCAACGGATGCGACGCTGCACAAAAGGCTCTATTGTTCCACAACACAATATTCTTGGTGCAAATGTGTCTGAGGAGGTGAGTGTAAAACTGGAGGGAAGGAGAAATGAAATCTCAGGCTTTTATAGCTGCAGGCAGTAAAACACAAATTCAGCACAGTCAAACAGCTTCATATTATTCTCAGCCATACACACACATTGTTTTATCGCAACAACCCGGCGACACAAATGCACCTGAATACCTTCTGAAGGACACACGGCGAACAAAAAGAAGCAGAAACAGGCAAGCACGCTCATTGGAGTTATGTTTTCAGAGGCATTCAATTTTGTTCCTGTCAAACCTCACTGTATTTCTGCTTTGTGTTTTTTCCTGCAGAATATAACGCTTTATGGCTCCACGCAGGGAGACTAAACACACACAGAAAAAAAAAAAAAAAAACAGAGAAAAAGCAAGGAAGGGAAACTGGTCCAGTTTTAAACACGTAATAAAAACATAAATCAGAACACAGAGATTCAGTAAGTAAAATCTTTTTAAGAATTCATTTTAATGCAGGAAGCGCCATGTTTCTGATATTGAGAGAGATCGAAAATGACACTTGAAAATTCAGATTTTATGTCAACAATTTAAGCAATATATGTACAATAATCGTAAATAAAAAAAAAAAAATCAATTGTAGCCTAAACTTTGGAGTGTAGAGATGCACTGCCAAACTCTTCCTTTGGAAATATTAACTCCTCTTTTCTACTCAAACTCACCATAATTTTGTTTTACAGCAACTATTTCCAGCAGCTATTCACTTCAGAACAGAACGCTACTTAATAGACCATAACGAACTGCACTTCTTTCAAGTTGCTCAAGTAAAAAACAAAAAAGGTTTGCAAAGTTCCCAGAAACTATTGAATGATTAGAAAGCAGAATCATAAGCAGGAAACTTATGTTGTCTAATAGTTGCTAAGACTCAAAATAGTCTGGATATTTACCTTTTACATGTTATATCTGCTGTTCTTGGGTTTGACAATGAATTCTCAGTTCTATATAATTATTATTTTTTGGCTGATCCAGATGAACTTTGAAGGCAGACAGATTATTTATGACAATCAAATATTTAATTAATCAGTTAACACTGAAATCAATCAATGGCTATTTTTGATCTTCTGATACTCCGTGGTTTTCTTTAAATTGCACAGAAACACAGAAAATATCAAAAACAATTCGTACCAGTCCTGAAACACTAAGCTGTAAACGGTATTTATGCTGCATCCCACATGAATTACACAATCAGCATTCAGTTACTGTGCGCTCAGGCAGAGTTTTATCCAGGCGAGAGGAGGTGGAGCATTCTCATGATCAGTCATGGAGAAGTTTCACCATTCATCAAAGTGTTGCCTTGAACATGGACAGAGACTAAAGACGCTATGATCAGCCAAGAAAAAAATTCTTCCAGGGACAAAGGATTCATCAATTCACCAAGCTCCCCCTGACACTCAGAAAAGAAAAAAAAAACATGGACTTGAAATGATAAAGTGCATCGACAGACAGGGGATATATCACTTTGCAGAAAATTATACTGGCAGCAAATAAAACATGGGAGTCCAGAGGAATGTGGCTGAAAGGAAATCAGGCATGAGGTTTTTGGGTTTATCTAATTAAAAAATATGATTTTGCACACATTTGAATGCAAATAAATTAGTAAACAAATGTTTTTAATGATGCTGCTGTCAAAAATGTAACTTCTTGGAGCTTTTTGGATATTTTCAAAAACAAGACTTTAAGTGGAAATGCATCATGCAATATTTGGTAACATCTAATGGCAAAAGCTGGAAACTGCAACCGTCTGTAAACAATTTATCTACCGTCAAACTACAGTGGCAATAAAAGGTGGAGTTAGTCTTGTTCATTCTAATGTAATGCAGTATCATGACTGCTAACCATGCTGCAGAAACAGATAGAATTCAACCTGTTTAACACTGTAAACTAATGTATTTTGTACTGTATTTGAACCAAATTACCTTGCGATCTTGTCACTGCAGGACATGGTGAGCAACCTCTCTCCTTGAAGCACGCCGTCCCAGGTCTGGATGGTGTTACTGGACCGTACAGGAATGGTGCCCTCCCCTGACTCTATTTTGGTCCTGAGCTGGCCTCTTGCTTTGCGGTTCGGGTGCCGGTCTCCCTGATCTGAGCAAGAACATGATCACACAAAAGGAAAAAATTAAAAAAAAAAAAAAAAAATCTCAGACAGAAACAGAACTGATTAAATAATATTACATATTATATATGATATTATAAACCAAGCACCAACTACTGGGCAGGAATGAATCTGTGCCATTACAGGTCAATCATCAGGGAGTCCAGGGTCCCCCCTCTAGCTCCGCCCCTGCTTATTAAATTAAATATAAACAAAACTGAAGTGCTAGTGTTTGGACCAAAAGAGCATAGATTACAAATGATCAC